ATAAGCCAGTAAAATACAATGTAATTTCAATGTAATATCCCTGGAATTCTTTGTTTATAGATTGGTTCCTGAGGAAAGACCAGAGATCTGAAACATTTAAATATCCGGAAAAAGTGTTGAAAGAGAGATATTGAGTTCGGAGCAGACTGTTTTTGAGAATACAAGACTGTTAGAGGGAGATAGACTGAGGGAGTCTGGAGCAGACTGCTATGTGAAATCTTATCAACCTTTGTGTTTTTTCTACGAAGGAATAAGTGGTGTTTTTTTTATTAAAAAGGTAAAGGTAAAGGTTCCTTTGCTTGAAAGCCAATCGAATCCGACTCTAGGGTTGCGGTGCTTATCTGTTTCAAAGAGCCAGCGCTGTCCGAAGACGTTTCCATGGTCATGTGGCCAGCATGACTAAACACCAAGGCGCAGGGAACGCTGTTACCTTCCCACTGAAGTGGTACCTATTTATCTACTTGCAATTTCTTGCTTTCGAACTGCTAGGTTGGCAGGAGCTGGAACTAGAGACGGGAGCTCACTCCGACATGCTGCACACTCGGGTCTCCAACGGCTGAACTACCGACCTTCCACAGCCTGCAGTTCAGCGTCTTAACCACTTGAGCCACCAGACACTAAATGTTGTTATGGCTTTCATCTAGTCTCTTTTGTTATTGTATCGTTCTGTGGGCATCTAGCACACATCTGTATCATTTTGCACATCAGACTGGATTCAGTCCAAGGCAGCTTCACGTGTGTTCAGATGGAAATGTTTGAGCAAGACCACCACGCTCACAGAAGGATGGAAAGGAGCGTAATAGTTAACTAATTACTCGGCAACATTCTGACACTCCTAAGTTATTTCTTATCTAACTCCACCTGCCTCATTCTTAAAAAAACAAATTACGTTTTTATTCATACCCCTATGAATACCTAGATACCCAGTTTTGTGGTGAATTTTACTGCTAGGGCTCAGCCCTGCCAAGAGAGAGATAAAATACTTTGGGGGTAGGGATCCCAATTCCAGGTTGGGAAATCCCTGGGGATCTGGGGGAGGGGAGGAACATCCGCATGTTATAATGCCAGGCAGTTCACAGCGCCAAAGGAGCCTTTTGCTCCAGGGGAACGATAGCTGTAGTCTGGGAATCAGTTCTGATTCCGGGAGATCTCCGGAACCCACCTGGAGGTTGGGAACAAGAACGTAAGAGCATTTGCCTTCAAGCTCTACACGGGGACTCCCCAGGGGCCAACTGGCCAGGCAGTGCTAGAAACAGGATCGCGCGATTCGATTCACCCATGCCTGACCCAGCCGGGCTCTCCGATGCAGGACTTTTTCTTTGGAATCCGACCCTTGGCTGGGACACTCGTTCAGCCCACCTGGCTTTAGCTCTCCGGGCAGGGAGATCACCCCCAGGATGATCCCGCATCAGCAATGCTCAGATGTTGCTCCCGGGCGCTTCTGCATGCCTGGCCTGATGTTTTGCCCGGGGGGGCCCTCCTTCCTGCACCTCCCTCCTTCTGCTCCCTCCCCGCCTCAAACGCCTTCCCGCAACTCACTTGCTCCCTCCCAGTTTCCCCAGTTTAGGGGGCGGAGCAGGAAGTGGCTTCCCCAGTTCACAGCTGCTTGTCTCCCGGATGCCTCTCTAGGAGGGCGGCCCGTTCCAGATGTTTACCTTTAACCCTTGCAGAGCCGCTCTGTGGAGCCCCCTCCCGCCTGACACCCGAGGAGGAGCATCAGCAGCCAGCAGGGGAGGGAGATGGAGGGAGGATTTCTTTCCTTTCTCTCTCCGTCCGCAGAGGCAGCCCTGTGAGTCTCTTGCAAGGAGGAACAGCAGGAGAATGCAGGAGACTATATAGATTTGTGGAGGAGGAGTCTATCAGTGGCTACTGACCATGGTGACTGAGGGGAACCTCCACAGTCAGAGGCAATCAACCTCTTAATCCCAAAGCCAGGAGGCAGCCTCAGGGAAAAGTCTTGGCCTCTACACCCTGTTGTTGGCCGTCCAGAGGAACTGGTAGGCCACTGTGTGAGACAAGATGCTGGACTAGAATAATAGAATCATAAGAGTTGGAAGGGACCTCCAGTGTCATCTAGTCCAGCCCCCTGCACACTGCAGGAAATTCACAAATACCTCTCCCCCCCACACCCTCACTGACCACTGTTCCATGCCCAGAAGATGACCCAAAAAACCCCTCCAGGATCTCCAGCCAAACTGGACTGGAGAAAAATTGCTTTCTGACCCCAAAGTGGTGATCAGCATTTCCCTGGCCGTGTAACAAAGGGTCACAAGAACTAAGCACTGAGGCTACCCTTCCCGCCCTCCCTATCATGATCTGCCTAAGTTCACAGAATCAGCATTGCTGTCAGATGGCCATCTGGCCTCTGTTTGAAAACCTCCAAAGGAGAGCCCACCACTTCCTGAGGAAACCTGTTCCACTGAGGAACCGCTCCATCAGGAAGTTCTTCCTAATGCTTAGCCGAAAACTCTTCTGATTTAATTTCAACCCGTTGGGTCTGGTTCGACCTTCTGGGGCAACAGAAAACAACACTGTACCATCCTCTATAAGACAGCCCTTCAAGTGTTTGAAGATGGTTATCATATCATAGAGATGTTGTCTCTTTTCCACACTAAACATACCCAGCTCCTTCAACTTTCCCTCATAGAACTTGGTCTCCAGACCCCTCACCATCTTTGTTGCCCTCTTCTGGACATGTTCTAGCGTGTCTATATCCTTCTTAAATTATGGTGCCCAAAACTGAACACAGTACTCTAGGTGAGGTCTAACCAGAGCAAAGCAATGCCATCTCTTCACCTGATCTGGACACTACAGCCCAAAATCACATTTGCCTTTTTAGCTACCAGATCACACTGCTGACTCATGTTCAGTGTATGTTCTACTAAGACCCCTAGATTCTTTTCACACATGCTACTGCCAAGTCTCCCCATCCTATAATAATGCATTTGATTTTTCCTACCTAAATGCAGTTCCCTGATGGATACCAGCCAGCTTAACTCATCACTTTGCAGCTGGGAAAAGGCTGTGGCAGATTCAGAGGTGTTAGTGGAGACTACTAAAATTTTCTGGAAGGCTGCCGAAGACAAAGCATTGTCCTGCTAATGGGTTCATGAACTGTTTGTTTTGTATTCTTCTGTTTTGCCTTTCATTAAATGTTATACCCAGGGCTTTTTTTGTAGAAAAAGCCCAGCAGGAAATCGTTAGCATAATAGGCCACACCCAACAGTAGAAATTCATTTGCTTATTAGGACACACCCCTGACAGCACAGCTCATTCGCATGTTAGGCCCATGTTACCAGAAATGTGGTCATCCAGCCACACCCACCTTTTGCTTCTTATTCTGTTTACCTTGTTTGTTGTGTACCAGGAACCCCTTTGCATGTTAGGCCACACACCCCTAATGTAGCCAATCCTAATCAGTTTCTGCTGTTGGGTGTGACCTGTTATGCCAATGAGTTCCTGCTAGGCGTGGCCAACTTGGAAGCCAGCCGGAACTCCGTTCCTGTGCGTTCCTGCCGCCCTGGTTATACCTGTTCTCAAGTAACATTTCCAGTCTTGGGAGGTGGAAGGTGAACGTCAGATAAAAATCACCTGTTATGTCTGTTACTCGAGTATCAGTATTCTTTATTACGGTCATACACCAGCATAACACAAAACAAGATATATCTGGAATCTGTCAGCAACAAGCAAGTGGGGGAGGGGATGAAGAAGGGTCTTGAGAGATTTATTGGTCCTGCTACCCAGCAAGGGCTGGATTCTCACCTCTATTTTTTTTAATGAAGAGGAGAACAACATTTTCCAGACAGCTTCTGTCGCAATGATAGAAATCTGCATTTCGATTCGATCCTTCTAAGCCACAGAATAAAAACCGAACAAACAGCTGATACACAGGTGCTCTCATATCTGACCAAGGACTACCATCCCTGGTCTACATTGCCTATTGGTGTTCAAAGGGGATGACAGGTATTTAGGGACACAAGAATCTAAGAAAAACCCTGCTGGGATCAGACCAGTGGTCGACCTAGTCCAGAAAACTGTTTCACCATAGAGTTACTATGGAAGCCAACAACAGGGTAAAGCTGCTGAGATTTGCCCCCGATATCACCTTCTGCCACTGCTATTCAGAGGTCGGGTGCATCTGAATGTGGAGGTTCCCTTTAGTCATCATGGCTAGTAGCTGCTGATAGAATGTTCTCCATGAAATTTAATCCAACATATGATAACTGTACAGATAAAACTAGAAGCAACGTTCTTCAGACTGAAAAACTACAGTACTCTGCATTTTGTAAAAGGTAAAGAGGCATTAAAAAGGTAATGAGAGGCACTACTCTATCTCACTGTCTCAGTGAATGATCCATAAGTGTCAGAGGTGTAAACAGACTACAGAGGAAAATATGTTTTGGTCGCCAGACTGTGCTACATACATTTGTTTGAAGCTGGGAACAAGGGGAGAGGGTGGACACAAAGGAGAGAAATGGGCACAGAGAAGGTCCTTATCAAGGGCAACTATCATAAAACAGTTCACACTCACAAATTGGCAGGGTCGCCCACTTCAACAGGCTTCCTACATGCCAACAGTGATTGGAAGGCTCTTTGCCTGTGCGACTCTTGTGGTGGAAGTTAAGGCTTCAACTCAGACTGAACTGCTTTCCACACTTCAGGCATTTATGTAGTTTTTCTCCCCAGTATGAATCTTTTTATGTTTTGGTTAGGTCACCATTCCAAAAGAAGTATGTTTCATACTCCAAGCATTTATATGGCTTCTCACCTGTTTGAATATTTTGAGGTGCTTTTAGGGTATCATCCCAAGATAAGTACTTTCCACACTCCAAGTATTTATGTGGCTTCTCCACAGTATGAATATTTTGATGTGATTTTAGGGCGTCATTCCGAGAGAAGCACTTTCCACACTCCAAGCATTTATATGGCTTCTCCCCAGTATGAATCTTTCGATGTGATTTTAGGGCATCATTCCGAGAGAAGCACTTTCCACACTCCAAGCATTTATATGGCTTCTCTCCTGTATGAACCTTTTGATGTGCTATTAGGTTAGCACTCCGAGAGAAGCACTTTCCACACTCCAAGCATTTATTTGGCTTCTCCCCGGTATGAATCTTTCGGTGTCCTATTAGATAGCGATTCCGAGAGAAGCACTTTCCACACTCCAAGCATTTGTATGGCCTGTCCCCTGTATGAATCTTTTGATGTGCAGTTAGGTGGGCATTCTGAGAGAAGCACTTTCCACACTCCAAGCATTTATATGGCTTCTCCACAGTATGAACATTTTGATGTGCTTTTAGGGCGTCATTCCGAGAGAAGCACTTTCCACACTCCAAGCATTTATATGGCTTCTCCCCAGTATGAATCTTTCGATGTGATTTTAGTGCACCCTTCCGAGAGAAGCACTTTCCACACTCCAAGCATTTATATGGCTTCTCCCCTGTATGAACCTTTTGATGTGTTATTAGGTTATCACTCCGAGAGAAGCATTTTCCACACTCCAAGCATTTATTTGGCTTTTCCCCAGTATGAATCTTTAGATGTGCATTTAGGTGGGCATTCTGAGAGAAACACTTTCCACATTCCATGCATTTATTTGGCTTCTCCCCAGTGTGAATTGTTTGATGTGCTATTAGATAGCCATTCCGAGATAAGCACTTTCCGCACTCCAAGCATTTATATGGCTTCTCCCCTGTATGAACCTTTTGGTGTGCTATTAGGTTATCACTCCTAGAGAAGCACTTTCCACACTCCAAGCATGTATATGGTTTATCCCCAGTATGAATCTTTTGATGTGCTATTAGATAGCCATTCCGAGAGAAGCACTTTCCACACTCCAAGCATTTATATGGCTTCTCCCCTGTATGAATCTTTTGATGTGCAGTTAGGTGGGCACTCTGAGAGAAACACTTTCCACACTCCAAGCATTTATTTGGCTTTTCCCCTGTGTGAATCCTTTGATGCCTAGTACTTGTACTACTCCAAAGGAAGCACTTCCCACATTCCACACATTCCATCCTGCTGATGCTGAACCCTTTCTGATTCATGGCACCATTATGCCTTCTCTTTCTCTTCCCTGTTTTATCTTGGGCTGAGACCTCGGACTTATTTTTGCTCTGATAGGCCACCGATTCCTTCCTTTGCTTCTGTTTTCCTTCCCTTTTCCTTCTGCACTGTGTCTTTGGTGCCACTTGATCCCCCGATTTTGCTTCCACCTGTGGACTGTTGTCCATTTCCACAGCTCTCCTTCCTGATTCCTTCTCATTCACCATCTCCTTATCATCTTCAACTGAAAAAGAGAGACAGAAATCAAATAAGAATGACAAGGGACAAATGGCAGTTAAAGATAAGCTGAGCAGTGAATAGTATTTTGTGTAATCAGAACACGGGGCCTGGAAAAACCTTCAGGAATATTTAACCATACACTGGGATATATTGGAAAAAGAAGAAATTACAAGGGAGTCGTTACCGGCTAAACATCAGGAGAAACCTCCTAACTGTAAGAGTGGTTGAGCAGTGGAACAGTCTGCCTCAGGAGGTGGTGGATGCTCCATTGCTGGATGTTTTCAAGTGGAGGCTGGACGACCATCTTTCGGGTATGTTGTAGGTATGTAGGGCTATCTTTCAGCTATGCTCCTTCAGAGTGCAGGGGGTTGGACTAGATGACCTGCAAGGTCCCCTCCAACTCTAACATTCTAAGATTCTATGGTGACCAAAGAGACAAGAGATTTCTTGCTTCTGTTGCAGAAACTTGCTCTTTCCCCCCCAACTTTATTTATATATTTTTTAAAATTTTGTACAGCAAAACAGGGAGTCTCATTAATAGAATGTAACTGAAATAGTTTCAAGTAACAAGTAATAATCAAACATAGTACACATTCTAGCCTAGTAATGATCAAACGTTAAAACTAACAACAAAACTTTTAACAGACAAATATTGGCTCATTGTACATGGGTTACATAGCCCTATCAAGAAGAGATGAAGAGATTGGATTTATACCCTGCCCTTCACTACCCAAAGGAGTCTCAGAGCAGCTTCCAAACTCCTTTCCCTTCCCCTCCCCACAACAGACACCCTGTGAGGTAGGTGGGGCTGAGAGAGCTCTTGACAGAAACTGCTCTTTTTCAAGAACAGCTCTTATCAGAGCTATGGCTTGCCCAAGGTCATCCAGCCAGGTGCAAGTGGAGGAGTGGGGAATCAAACCTGGTTCTCCCAGATTAGAGTCCGCGCACTTAACCACTACACCAAACTGGCTCAATCTCATTGAGTATCAATCTAATTGAGCTAAGGCTTCAAGGATCCTGAACCCTAAGAGTATGCAAGAAAGCTATAGAAATGTTTAACAAGGTATGCATTATCTAGCTCATTTTTATTCACTAATGATTCCAAAAGCAGTAGCCAGTGTTCCATGAAGTTAGTTTGAACCATTTGCACATCTGATTGAATAATCTGTCTGATGAGATATTTCTTCCATCAAAAAATGACCCCAGAATTGGTTATAAAGGTTTCCCTTGCTTGAGAGCCAGTCGAATCCGACTCTAGGGGGCAGTGCTCATCTCAGTTTCCAAGCCGAAGAGCCAGCACTGTCCGAAGACATTTCCGCGGTCATGTGGCTGGCATGACTAGACGCCGAGGTGCACAGAACACTGTTACCTTCCCACCGAAGTGGTACCTATCTATTTACTTGCAATTTCTTGCTTTCAAACTGCTAGGTTGGCAGGAGCTGGGGCCAGAGACGGGAGTTCACTCCGTCATGCGGCACTCGGGTCTCGAACTACCGAAGTACAGACCTTCCGGTCTGCAGCCTTAACCTCTGAGCCACCACAGCTCCTGAGTCTGTTATACCACTGTACAACTGACAGAGGTATTTTTGCTTTCCAGTGAGCTGCAATAAGGATTCTAGCTATAGACAAGAGTTCTGTTATTAGATCTCAATGGATTGCCGGAATAGAACAATCTTGCCAACAGTCTAGTAGCACACTTTCCGGTGTAGCTGGAACCACATATCCAGTAAGTAATTGAAATGTTGTATTTTTTGTTCAGTCGAGTCCGACTCTTTGCGACCCCATGGACCAGATCCCGCCAGGCCTTCCTGTCTTCCGCCGTCCTCTGAAGTTGGCTCAATTTCATGTTCGTTGCATCTATGACACTGTCTAACCATCTCATCCTTTGCTGTCCCCGTCTTCTTTAACCTTCAATCTTTCCCAGCATCAGGGTCTTCTCCAGTGAGTGCTCCCTTCTCATTGGGTGGCCAAAGTATTTGAGCTTCAGTTTCATTATCTGGCCTTCCAGGGAACAGTCAGGGTTGATTTCTTTTAGGATTGACTGATTTGATCTTCTTGCAGTCCAAGGGACTCTCAAGAGTCTCCTCCAGCACCATAGTTCAAAAGAATCTATTCTTCGGCACTCGGCCTTCCTTATAGTCCAACTCTCACAGCCATACATGACTACTGGGAATACCATTGCTTGGACCATGCGTATTTTTGTTGGCAGGGTGATGTCTCTACTTTTTATCATGCTGTTTAGGTTCGCCATCGCTTTCCTCCCAAGGAGCAGGCGTCTTTTAATTTCATGGCTGCAGTCACAGTCTGCGGTGATCTGGGATCCCAGGAACATGAAGTTTCAGGGGATAGCGGTTCTCATTTATAAAATGTATTCTTACCGATGTTAGGTACCAACGATTTATAATCTTTAATTATTGCATTTGAATGTTTATTGACCTAATAGAACATGTTAACCTGTGCCATATATTCCCCCACTGGGATTCAGAAAACACAATCTGACAGTCAGTGTCCCAAGATTTTTGATAACCAGTTAAACTGGTTGCGGCGATTTGAAGTAAGATTTTGTAATGATACTGTTTTATCAGTTCAAGGTTTTGGACCTAGAAATATAAAAATGTATCAGGTCGTATAGACTCAGGACTTCTTCGTTCCAATATTCACTACTTCACAGACGGATTGTGCCAATGTTTTCAAAGTATAGTTTTAGTGCACTTTGTAATAAAGACATATATTTTGGTTCAATTGATTTCTCAAAATATTTTTTTCTCTCTCATCCAACCATTGGGTACCCAACTTCATGGATCACAAAGTGACAACGATATATCCACTAGGAGGATGCAGAACCTGACAGGTCTTCCTCTCTTGCATAAGATGGAGAAGAACTAGGAAAATCCCACCACCTCTAAGTCCCACCCCTCCAAGGACCCCACATCTCAGTAGCTACCTGCTTCTATCTCTGTTTCCACAGAGCTCTGAGCAAACACCTTCTTGTCGTCTTCTTCTTCCTGGCAGGAGCAGAGATCAGGTCTGGGAGTCAGAAGTTCTCCTTTGGGAGAAACAAAAGCAGGTCAGGTCTCCCAGGCACTTCTAGATGCATCAATATTCCAAACCAGCCTGACCTGAGTCCCCCTTTCTTCTCAATCAAGTGCAACAAGGACAGAAGCCCATAATGTTGCTCTACAATGTATTTAACCCCTGCACATGGATGTAGCAGGTGAAAGACCTGAACGTGAGCCTGGAAACATCACCAGATGCTGCTCCAAACTTGGAATGAAGTTCCAGTCAGGAATGCGGCTTTCATCAAGACTCAGCTCAAAGGGAAGCATCCTCTTCATCAAGCCCACCTCTACCAAAGACAGACAGGAAGCATCCCCACAAGCAAGCCCTCATCATCCAAAGGGCAGACAGGAAGCATCCTCTCTGAGAAACCCATCTCCTTCAAAGGACAGACAGGAAGCATCCTCTCTGAGAAACCCATCTCCTTCAAAGGGCAGACAGGAAGCATCCTCTCTGAGAAACCCATCTCCTTCAAAGGACAGACAGGAAGCATCCCCTCTGAGAAACCCATCTCCTTCAAAGGACAGACAGGAAGCATCCCCTCTGGCAAACCCACGTCATCCAAAGGGCAGACAGGAAGCATCCTCTCTGAGAAACCCATCTCCTTCAAAGGGCAGACAGGAAGCAACCACTGAGATCCTCCACTCCTGTCTGCACAACCCCTGAGCTCTGAAGCAGGAAACAGTTCTGCTGCCTACGATGAGACTCAAAATCCCAACCAGGCCAGAAGAAATGGACTCGGGAGGGCAGAGTTCAGGTATCATGCCAGGGCACACTGGCTGGCCACCTACTCCTGGCTTCACAAAATCCCTATAGTGTACGGATTGCTAACAAGAGTCATGGAGATTAATTCATTTGAAGCATCTGTCAACTAAAGTGGAAGGGGCCCTTACCGAGAGAGGCCACATTCCCAAAATTCTCCAACATGACTTCCATGGCCAGGGCCCTCTGGCCCGGATCCAGCAGCTCCCACTCCTCCTTGGTGAAGTCCACGTCCACCTCCTCAAAGGACAGAAAACCTTCCTCAGTTTGAGCTGGCTGAATAACAGCTGTTCCCACGCCAGGACAAAGAGATGATTCGGAAAGCGTTGTTCCAAAGCCTGGGAGGAAAAGAAGGTCAATCCAGTCTCTCAAACAGAGGCCAAAGGAGTTGAAATAGCGGTAATGAGCTTCAGGCATCCTGGAGAGAAAAACAGAGACATAACATTTATCATGTGACTGTTACAGCTGTTCAGACACAAGGAATCCTTACCTGGTGAACTGTCCCACATTGGATTCTTCTGCTTGAAGACCCTGAACTGTGGATTCTGGCAGGTCTTGGATGGAGTCTTTTCTGACTCAACAAACATCTCCATGAATGGGCCACGCAACTGAAATACCAGACAGGGTAAAAAGAGAGGAATAAAGAGAAGAATTCTGCCCCCCCCCTTCACCTCCTTCTGTTATCACAGGGACTAGAATCTGGCTTCAGCTTCCCCCACATCCTAGATCATGACCCAGAAGGGGCAGGAAGGCACTCAAATGCCCCATGCAGTGTTTGAGCCCTGGAACAGGCTGCCAAGAGAGGGAGGGAAATCTCATCTGCACAAGAATGGGACAGAGATGCTTTAGGAAAAGACTGAGGTTCTCAGATACTTTTGTTTTGCCAGGATACAACCCACTCACCCGCTCTTTCTCCTTCTCTGTCTGGCTGAGGAGGAAGCCTTCTGCCAGGGCCACCGCCTGGGAACTGGTCTCCGGCCCGCACTCCCTCACCCAGCTCTCCATCTCCGGGGGCAGGACGGCCAGGAACTGCTCCAGGACCACCAGGTCCAGCATCTCCTTCTTGCTGCGCCTCTCCGGCTTCAGCCAACGGTTGCAAAGTTCGTGGAGGCGGCTGCATGCGTCTCGGGGGCCCTCCGCCTCCTGGTAGCAGAACTGTCTGAATTGCTGGCGCTGCACGTCCAAGCCAAGGGCATCCTCACCCAGGAGGCTCTTCAGCCTTGTTTTCTCCCAGAGCTCCCTGGCACTCGACTCTTTTCCTAGCCCCATTCCGGCTTCAGGGCCTTTCCTGCCCTCTGTCTGTAGGTGCTCAAGTGCCATCTGCCACACAGGAGAAAATTCTCCTTCCTCTTCTTCCTCTTTTGGTCCCATGGGGGGGGAGACTTTTGCTGAGAACCCCAAGTTGAGGGGGGTCTTTCCTGGTCACGAGTTCTAATGCTGCTGACACAAGCAGAGGCAAAACTGGGTGCTCCCCACTAGCCTCTGGAGCTCCTCCCTGAGGAAAAGAAAAGCCAGCCCTAAGACTCGGGGGAGCCACGGACCCTCCACTCCACGCCCTCCCTTGCCAGGACTGCCCACTCCGGGTCAGGGAATCCCTGGAGATTTGGGAATGGAGCCTTGGAGGAGAACAAAGTTTGGGAAGGGGAGGGAAGTCAGCCGGGGTATACTGCTATACACTCCCACCCTCCAAATCAGCCATTTTGTCCAGAACTGATTTCTATGATCTGGAGAGCAGTTCTAATTCTAGGAGATCTGCAGGCCCCACCTGGAGGTTGGCAACCACAAGGATCCTAAGGCAGCATTTTTCCCCCTCAAGTGCCCCTTGATCTTATTTTAGAGGCCATTCTCCCTATTGTGTTTTGCATTCAAACCTGCATGGAGAACCACAGTGCTGTTTGGAAGTGCAGCCATGTTAGCCCAATGAAGCCAAAATGACTATAGAATGTTAGAGTTGGAAGGGACCTTGCAGGTCATCTAGTCCAACCCCTTGCACTCCAGAGCACCTGAAAAAAACCAGTTATTGTGGCTTCAGTTTTTGTGAGCCAGAATCTCTGTGCATCCACTGACATCAGCTGTGGCTCGCAAAACCTTCTGTGAGGTCAAAGTTCTGTCACCCTGTCCCCTTTCAGCTGCTGCCCGCCCAATCTGGTTCTCTTATTGGCTAAGTCTGAAGTCCTTGCTCAGCCAGGTCCTTGGAGAGAACACTGGAAGCTGCCTTGGACAGGGCCAGCTTGTTCTTCCCGCTCCCTGCCTTGACACTTGTGCCCTCCAGGGTCTACGTCAGGAGTCTTCTCCAGCCCCATTCAGCAGAGAGGCCAGGGACTGGACCTGGGTCCCTCTGTGCACAAGACATGCTCTCTGCTGGCAAGTTAATGTTCCCCCACCCCAAATGATTAAACAGTGATGTAGTGATGGCCACAAGTTTGGAAGGCTTTCAAAGGGAGGCCAGAGAAATCAACAAGTGGTGAATCTAGAGCCATGATAGCTATCAAGAACAGAGGCCAAGGTTTCCTCTAGAGATGTGAAGGCCCGGGGAAAAAACCGGAAAAATTCGGGAGGAAAACATTTTTTAAAAAAACTGGAATAAAATATTAAAATATTTTAATTCATCATGTTAAAAATATTTAATTAAAATATTTTATTCACCATGTTAAAATAAAACGTTCCATAATCATTTTTTTTCCTTTTCCAATTTTTCGGAAAAAAACAAAAAGGCTTCAGGAAAAAAAAACGTTTTGTCCCCCGTTTTTTTCCTGAAGTCTTTTTGTGTTTTTCCGAAAAATTGGGGGGAAAAAAGATTATGATTAATAAAATATTTTAAGACAAGGTGTTCAAATATTTTCCAAATAATTTCATATATATATATATGTATATATATATGGTATCAGATTGATCTAATTTCTGTGCACTGAGGACAAGCAAGTCCTAGGTTACCGACTGAACCCTCCAATGCAAGAACAAGATGCATTTCTTCCTTTAGGAAGTGCGATTGTCAGAAGAAAATTAAAAAGTTTCAGTTTTGTTTTTGCATGTGGGTGGGTATTCTGTTTGAAATAATTGTTTGGATACACTATATTTTTAACATGCTAGTGATAATTTCATGCCAAGTAAAAATGTCCATAGTCATATTTTATGTTCCTAAAGTAACAGAATGACTTTCAATCTAGAAAAGTCAAAAGAAATGCTAATGTAGCATTTTTTTCAATTTTTCCAAAAATTTCCGTTTTTTCCCGGAAAAAAAACCAGGGGGGAAACGGGGTTTTTTCCGAGCTTCAAAATTTCCGGAAATTTTACATCTCTAGTTTCCTCCCTCTGCCTTCCATCTTGAGATCGCAACCACCAGGTAGACCAGATGGAGAAAGAAAACAAGGGTTTCAGCTCATCCCAGAGAGGGAGAGAACCAGTATCCTCCGAGACCTGTGGACTAGAGAGGTCTAACAAGCTCTAACACAGCAGGGAGGACCCTTGCACATGAAGACCTTTGCAAGCAGCTAAAACAGCTTGTGTGAGAAAGGCAAAGCTACAAGCCCACGGCCCAAGGGAATATCTTGAAAAACAGCAGTTCAAATGCAGAAATAGCTGGGGGGTGGGGGAAGTGCCATCTTTAGGAGAGTTTGAGGCAGGCAACAGAGACACCACATTAGTATTATTACATTATAATAATGGAGCATCTGCTTGGTGTGCAGAAGGTCCTGGCTCAGTCAATCCCCGGCATCTCCAGTTAAGAGGACCAGGCAGCAGGTGACGTGAAAGACCTCAGCCTGAGACCTTGGAGAGCCACTGACCTTGATGGACCAATGGCTGCATTCTGTGCAAGGCAGCTTCATGTGTGTTCAGATGGAAACGTTTGAAAAACACCACCACATTCAAAGGAAGGGTGGAAAGGAACATACTATTTTCTTAACTAGTTACTTGACAAGACGCTAACATTTACAAGTTGTTTATTATCTAATTCCACCTAGCTCATTCTAAATAGTGGAGCTGTGGTGGCTCAAGTGGTTAAGACGCTGAACTGCAGGCTGTGGAAGGTCGGTAGTTCAGCAGTTCGAGACCCGAGTGCCGCATGACGGAGTGAGCTCCCGTCTCTAGTTCCAGCTCCTGCCAACCTAGCAGTTCGAAAGCAAGAAATTGCAAGTAGACAAATAGGTAACACCCCAGTGGGAAGGTAACAGTGTTCCGTGCACCTTGGTGTTTTGTCATGCCGGCCACATGACCACGGAAACGTCTTTGGACAGCGCTGGCTCTTCGGCTTTGAAACGGAGATGAGCACCGCAACCCTAGAGTCGGATTCAACTGGCTTTCAAGCAAGGGAAACCTTTACCTTTTTAACATTCTAAATAAACCAAATTCCATTTTTATTTATATCAGTTTGAAATCCTGTCTGGATACCCAGTTTTGTGGCGAACCTTATTGCTGGGGCTCAGCCTTATTGCTAGGGCTCAGCCGAGAGCTACAGACTGAGAGCTGAAGGAAGAGAGAAAATACTTTTGAGGCAGGGATGCCAGTTCCGGGTTGGGAAATTCCTGTGGGTTTGGGGAGGGCAGGGTTTGCGGAGGGACCTCAGCATGGTATCATGTCATATAGTTCATCCTCCAAAGGAGCCGATTTCTCTAGGGGAACTGATATTTGTAGTGTGGAAATCCGACCCCACCTGGAGGTTGGCACCCTATATGGGGAGCACCAGGAACGTAAGAGCGTCTGCCTTCAAGCACGACATGGGGACTCTCCGGGGGGCCAACTGGCCAGGCAGTGCTAGAAACAGGATCGCACTAGATTAACCCATGTCTGACCCAGCCGGGCTCTCCGATGTCGGGACACCAGCCCACCTGGCTTTAGCTCTCCGGGCAGGGGGATCGCCCCCTGGATGAGCCCGCATCAGCAACGCGCTGATGTTGCTCCCGGGCGCTTCCGCATGCCTGTCTCGATGCTCTGCCCCCCCGGAGGGGGGTGCTCCTTCCTGCGGCTCCCTCCTCCTGCTCCCTCCCCTCCCCAAATATTTTCTCGCAACTCACCTGCTCCCCTCCCAGTTTTCCCAGCTCAGGGGGCGGAGTAGGAAGTGACTTCCCCAGTTCACAACTGTATGTGTCCCGGATCGGATGCCTCTCTAGGAGGGCGGCCCGTTCCAGATGTTCCCTTTAACCCTCGCAGAGCCGCGCTTCCCTCTAAAAGCTCAGTGTAGCCCCCCCCCCTCCCGGAACGCCCCCCCCCCCCAACAGAGGTAAGAGACCCGGCAACCTTACCATATACGCAGAGATGTCAGCTCGTAAAAAGCAAGCCCAAACTGGCGGAAAAACAGAATGGTTTAAAATAACTTCTTTTTCCCCCCTAGAAGAAGTATTAAAATTGACAATTAAAAGCTGGGATTCAAAGGCGGTGCCAGGACTCGGGGGAACAGTATCTGCTTTGCACGCAGCATGTCCCAGGTTCAATCCCCAGCGTCTCCAGTTAGACGGATCAGATAGTAGCCCAGGAGAAAAAAGCCTATACCCAGAATTAAACTTGATTGGCCTTCAAGGTGCCACTGGAGTCGCACTTTGTTCTATTGCTTCAGACCAACGCAGCTACCCACCTGAAGCCTTTTAGAGCCCTACACTGGGACAACACACCAGCAAATCAACAAACCCTCCTGTTTGCATTGCCGACAGACTGGCTCTCTGCGGGTTAAAGGACGCGTTTGAATCCCCAGAGAGGCACCTAGGAAACAGAAACGCGGTGATGTCACTTCCTACTCTAAACCCCCCCCCCCACCTGACCTTTTTCCAAATAGGAACTCCCACCCACCCCTTTTTTTTGCATCTCTCTGCCAGGACTCTGCCTTGCTGGAGGCAGAAAGGGGCCGAAAGAAGCTGATCCCGGTTCGTGTGACGCCCAGAGCAGCCCGTGCTCCTCCTGCTTAGGACATGCAGTGCTGGATCAGGAGAGAAGAGGCCGGTGCCCAGGCAGTCGTTCTGGCTGGATGTTTCCGACTGAGTCCAGCGGAGGACGAGTGAAGCAGGCGAGAGCATCTCCGTGTGGTCGAGCCAGAGGGCTACAAAGGTGAGCAGCGCTCCCTACTAGATAACTGGCTGTGTCCCTTATGAAAACCACAGACCAGGGCTCCCCATAGGATAAGCAGGAATCCCTACCTAATTAGCAGTCCCCCCAGTTATGTAGGAAAATAAGGCTTTGTCGGGAGTGGGTGTGCTCCAGGGGGCATGGGCGATCGCCTAGAGCGGGCTGGCCTTTAGGGGCGCCAAACTGCACCCAGCCGTACTCTGGGAGTTTCTTGA